AAAAAAACAATAGCAGGCATCTTGGTCCAACATAGGAGGCAGTGATGGGCCCTGACATGGGTGACTTTAAAAGAGGATTAGACAAATTCATGGAGAACAATGCTATCAATGGCTACTAGCCATGCTGGCTATGTTCTACCTCCACTGTCCTGCATTATGTCTCTGGATACCAGTTGCTGGGAATCTCAGGTGGGCAGAGTGCTGTTGTGCTCGCGTCCAGCTTGCAGGCATCTGGTTGGCCACTGTGAGAACAGAATGCCGATCTAGATGGGGCCATTGGCCTGATCCAACAGGCTCTTCCTATGTTCATCACAAGGAAGCTTGTCAGCATAGAAGCTGGTCTCTACTCACAAATCAGAAAAGGATCCTACTGCTTGAATGGTGGATGTGGACACCTAACTTCTGCATGTGTCTTTTGGCTCCAGATGCACATGGAAAGTGTTTATTTGAATTGCATTGCAGGCTGGGATGCAAATCCTACTTTATTTTGCCACATGTGTGCAGTTTTTAGTTACACCATATTACACGCAAGTGTCTTTGAGTTTGAGCTAGGATGTGATTAGAAAACAATTTTGAAATGCCCTGCTCGTCTCTCAAATGTGTATGTAGTCTGATATAAGGACATCTGGACTGAGACCTTCCACAGATCAAATGAATTCCTCATGATTATTATTTTTTAATATATTCATTCCTCTATTAATCATGCTGGATAACTGAATGATGCTTTCAGCTTTAGCCCAAACTAGGTAAGCCTGGGGAGTAGTCTCTTCCACACACATATGAATAGTTACCTCCATGTCTCTGAGAACATCAAGCCTTTCATGACCATTTTCACCTCTCTCTGAAGCCAGGTCCCATTGCAGTCTCAGCAGTTAATTACCTCCTGCTTCCACATCTGCTTCATTTCCAATGAAGGAATGCCAAGGACAGGAAATGACCACTGCAGTTCTCAGGACCTTCCACATGGATTCCATGTGCTCTCATTAGCCCTGGTTTCTTCACAGCCCAGAATCAGACCTGGCTGCATGGAGAAGAGGCAGCTCTGCCTGGAGCCCTGCCTCTCCCCCCTGCCATTTGGAGGCCCATGCCCAGTTCTTGGGCTGTTCTCCAATAACAGAGCCCGGTAGATTTTTCTCTGTCTGTTCCATTGTAGTTGCTGCTTATTTCTGTGTGGAGGGTCAGGATTGGTGGAAAAAATTCAGTGTGGGCCATTTGGGAAATGCCAGCTGTGGCTATTTATAAATTACCCCCCCCCAAAAAAAAGAGGCCAAAAGAGGACAGGTGTGAATGTAAATTATTTGTCCAGATGCAAATATAGAAATGAGCACTATAACTTAAATAGAAATGTAATGCATCTCAGCATCAAATATGGTGACCTTCTCAGTCTGCTGTCCAGGAGCTAAATGTTGATGGGCAACTTCAGAGCCCTGATCTCCCTTCGTACGATTCTTAGTGTGGAATTCAACATTGTGCAAGCAAGCGGTACTGCTTGCCAGATGGAACAATTTCGTGGCCTTGTTCTGGGGGTTCTCCTGACACCCCAGAGTAGATTTGGGGAGGTGCAAGAGGCACATGGGGTGGAAAGCCCTGTTGCACTAGTGGGAGTCCTTAATAATTTAATTGTATATGAACCCCTCAAATAGAGGACTGTGTAAGTTAGGACACATGGCCACTCTATGCCATTACCACTACTATTTTCAAAGCTTCAGAGCTGTAGGAAGCGTAGGGACTTATATAGCTAATCTAACACAACTTGCCACTTTATACCAAGTCAGACCATTGGGTCAGTCTAGTCCAGTATTACCTCTTCTGCCTGGCAGAAACACCCTAGGAACTCAGGTAAAGGACCCTTCCCTTTACCTGCTATCTGATCCTTTTAACTGGAGACATGGGTGTACCCAAGGGGGGCAGCTGCCCCCCTAAATCAATAAAAATACAGAGCTAACTGAGGTTCTGCCACCCCTAACAAAAAGCTTGCCCCCCCAAATCCTCCCATGACTGGAGATTCTAAGGAGTGAACCTGGGACCTCCTCCATGCAAACTCCAGCCGGAAATGAAACATAGCTTAGGCTGTAAAGGAATGCTACTAGGTGATCTACTCAGCGGCCACATTTGCACATCATTGTAAGCCATAAATCTTGGTATGAGGCGATCACATCCATTTCACTGCTCCCTGCTTGTACTGGGGAGAAATGCCAGGCCCAAATCCTGGTTATGTCCGAAGCAGGGACTGTGATTTGCTTTGCTCCAAACCAACCAAGATGTTTAACCAATGGTTTGTTCCTGGTTTACAGTTTATTTCAGTAAAACAAGCCGTGATTCCTAGTTGGGACAGAACACTAAGCCAGTGATCATGGTTTGTTTCTTCTCAGCATGTATGGAGTGGAGTAATGGAGACATGACTGGCTTATTCATGTAAGGCTATTTAAATAAATGCGCAGCAAGCCCTGGTTTTTGCCTAAACCATGACGTGCAAATGTGCAGTGGGTGAGAAGGAGGCAAACTGGTAGAATAACTGTGTGTAACTCTGCTGTAAAGAAAAGAAGAAAAACGAAATCTTTGCCAGGGAAAACTTGATTCTGAGACATGAATAAAAACCCAAGTCATGTTTGCACTGAGAAAACCGTGGGTTGATGTGCTCCAGAGCAGTCTGCATCAGGAGTGGGCAGAAAGGAGATTGGGATTTGCTGGTAGATATCTGGGTGATTTACAGTAGATCAGCGAGGGTTGCTGATTTCTAGTTGTTTAATGATCACAACAGCAAGTCACAGACTCCTGAAATGAAAAAAGCTAACTAGGAGTGGACCTTCTGTATAAAATGACTGTGAACTCAGTCCAGTTCTGTGAGCACATCTTTGGTTCTTTAATTTTAACAGTATGTCTTTTGCACTTGCCTCCAGGCAGTTCCAGACAGCCTGTTTATTGAGCATCCATTCCGATTTGTTGGCAGGGAGATTAGAGGATGTTAGTTATTTAATGAACATTCTTTCTAATTTGTTTGTGGGGAGACTAGATGAGGATGCCTCAAAATAAATGTTAACCCATGCTTTCCACTGCATTTTGCTTTCACTTTGCCTTCTGCAAAAAGTCCAACCTTTTGAGGAAGCAGGTTTGTTGTGCAAGACCTCCCAATTAATTGTAAACACACAACCTGAATTTGCTCGTATGTGAGTGAATCTCACCCCAAAACAGTGAGAGTCTGGAAGCACTTTCTGAATCTTAAGCTGCTGCCAAGGAGTGTGTGTGTGTGTGTGTGTGTATGTATGTGTATGTAGAGCTGGAATTTAGAGTCGCACATCTATCCTACTAAAATAATAATTTCATTGGAAACAATGGGTTGGATCCAGACTTAGGCAGCAATCCTAATCAAGTCTACTTGGAAGGAAGTTCCAGTGAATTCAGTAAGGTTTACTCCTAGGTAAGTGGGGTGAAGATTGCAGCTTTAGGGATGCTTGAGTCACCTAACTACGTCTTTTAAGTACACTTGATTAGTAAATGGATTGATAAACCCCAGATTGATTGTTTTTATTGTTTATGTAGAGAATTATGCAGAAAATCTGGTTTAAATATGATTGTGATTGTTTAGAACATTTATTTCTTGCTTTAACAGAGGTGCTCAAGCTGGCTCACAGCCTCAGTTTCAAATACTAAACAATGGACACAAATAAACACAAAACATGGGAACATTAAAACTTAAAAACAGCAGCACCTCTAAAACCAAAGCACACTCCTCTCTCTGACTAAAGCCCTTAACAAATGTGTCTGAAGGCCAGGAGGGAAGAGCATTGGTCAACTTGGGCAGAGATCTTCCCATGAAATTGGGGCAACCACTGAGAAAGCCCTGCCCCTTAAGTATTGACAATCTAACTTAATGAAAAGAGAGTACTTTGAGGCAGGCTCTGTGAAGCTCTTAAAAGGCGAGTTTGCTGATAGGGAGAGAGATGCTCTTAAAGTTACAGTGGTACCTCGGGTTACATATGCTTCAGGTTACATACGCTTCAGGTTACAGACTCCGCTAACCCAGAAATAGTACCTCGGGTTAAAAACTTTGCTTCAGGATAAGAACAGAAATCGTGCTCTGGCGGCGCGGTGGCAGCAGGAGGCCCCATTAGCTAAAGTGGTGCTTCAGGTTAAGAACAGTTTCAGGTTAAGAACGGACCTCCAGAACAAATTAAGTACATATCCAGAGGTATATCGAAGGACATTAAAGCCTAGATCACGTACCTTAAATTGGAGCCAGAAGCTTGCAGTTAGCTAGTGCAAATGGCGCACAATATACTCCCGTCATAGTGTCAGATGCCACTGAGTGGTCAAGGTGAGCCAACAGAGATGCAGCCCCATCGTCATCATCAACCTGGAAGCCCAAGAGTTGGTCTGCCCCTTTTCATTTGGTCACCCCTTCATTCTCATGTGAATTCCTAGCTAGAAACTGGAAGGCAAATAAATGTGCAAAACTGCAGTTCTCTTCCCACACAATGGGAAGTGTAAAATATTAACAGAGGCCCATGTGGTTGTGTTTGAGAAATAACCAAGATTGCTCAGAAACAGCTGCAGCTGTCAAGAGCAGTGTGAGGGCTGGGAAAGCAATTTGGCTCAGCTCTGTCAAGCCCCATGCAGGTGTGCAGGCTTCTCCTCCTGGGGAGCACCTTCATTGAATTAGCTCTCTTTCTTTCTACCCATTTTCATATGTAGGTTGCAAGCCTGTCGGCCTCACTCCAGGCGAGGCAGTTACTCCCCTCACCCATCTTAGCAGTGCTGCTGTGCTTTAAACAGTTGCATGAGAGATAGAAACGCAGTGAGTGCAGGTTTTCCAGGCATGGTGGTACAGTGATGTGGAAAGCATCACCTGCTGGATTTCTGCCTGTCACACAGATAGGCTGGAATGCTAGACTGAAGCCAACAAGATGAAATTCGACACAGAAGGTTAGTGCACTTAGAAACATGCAGTTGTAGAGTTGGAAAGAACCCTGAAGGTCTTCTAGTCCACCCCTGCAATATTTTGCCCAACGCAGGGCTTGAACCCACAACCCTGAGGTTCAGAGTGTCATGCTCTACTGGCTGAGCTGTCCCAGCAGTCACTTTTCCCGACTTACCTGTTTTCACACAAGCAGAGCTATAGTTAACATTAGGATATAGGGAGAGCTGGATCAGGCCCGTGAACCTTCTAGCCGAGCATCCAATTCTCACAGTGGCCAACCAGATGCCCACGAGAAGATTGTTGTTGTTGTTTAGTCGTGTCCGACTCTTTGTGACCCCATAGACCAGAGCACGCCAGGCACTTCTGTCTTCCACTGCCTCCCGCAGTTTAGTCAAACTCATGCTGGTAGCTTCGAGAACACTATCCAACCATCTTGTCCTCTGTCGTCCCCTTCTCCTGGTGCCCTCCATCTTTCCCGACACCAGGGTCTTTTCCAGGGTGTCATGTCTTCTCATGAGGTGGCCAAAGTATTGGAGTCTCAGCTTCAGGATCTGTCCTTCCAGTGAGCACTCAGGGCTGATTTCCTTTAGAATGGATAGGTTTGATCTTCTTGCAGTCCATGGGACTCTCAAGAGTCTCCTCAAGCACCATGAGAAGATAGCAACTGCTATTCAGAGGCATATTGCCTCTGACACTAGAGATAGAACCATAACCATTGTGGTTCTACACTGGCTGGGCCCATCTGAACTACTATGCTCCATTTTGGGCTCCACATTTTAAGAATGGGATTAATAAACTGGAATGTTCCCAGAGAAGGGTGACCTGGACATGAGGACTTCAAGTGGAATGGTCCAAAAAGCTGAGTATGTTTAGCTGGAGGAAGAGAAGGTTATGGGGAGACATGATAGCTGTCTTCAAACATCTGAAGAGCTATGAAGAAAAACCCTAAGATATAGGCAGTAGATGATGGGAAAGACCTTTTCTGGTTACCTTGGAGTAGACAAAGCTGTGCTAGATGGACAAAGAGGCAGCTTCCTATGTCCATCCTTTGTACATTAGTGTGATTGTGCTGTGTTTTGTGTGATGGAATGCTTCATGTATGCAAAAACCTCTCCAGCTTTTTTTGATGAGTAATTCTTGAGGTCAGTCTAGACTATGCCAGATGTCCAGATCACGACTTTTAACAGCTCTCTTGTGTAGAAGGATTGCCTCTTTCAATGTATGGCTGTAGATTTGCTGTTGGCTAATACAGGGAAGGATCAGCTGGTAAAAATTCTTTCACTTATGCACAATGGAAAACCAACCACTATGTAGCAGACATGACACAGGGGGATTTTAATTTTTCCTGGTTAAAGGAATTTTGTGTTAAAAGGCTTGCTGGATTAGAGTGGGTGAAAAAAACTTCATATTCCTGTCTCAGAGCACTTAAATGCTTTTAAATAACAACGATCCTTTGCAGTCACAGTGGCTGTGTTTGGACAATGATATCTCCTCCCCTTCTTTGGTGATCACTCGTAGCCGAGTAAAATTGTCTTCTATGTACCCGGTCTTAACGGTGAAGGCCAATTCTGGATCCACACACCTTTCCACAGTGGGGACATAGGTTTCCAGGCAGGAGATGATTGCGGTGAGGGTTTTCCAAACATGCCTTCCTCTTAGCCTATTTGTCTTTCTCGCCTTGAGTTCGTGCTTCTTCAAAGTCCACGACACCTTTGGTAAAGGCTGTTCTCCAATTGGAGTGCTCGTAGGTCACTGTTTCCCAGTGATCAGTGCTTATACTGCATTTTTAAAGATTTGCCTTGATTGCGTCTTTAAACCTCTTTTGTTGTCCACCAATATTTCACTTTCTATTCTTAAGCTGGGAATAGAGTAGTTGCTTTGGAAGATGCTAATCAGGCATCCAAACAGTTCAACAAAGCTGATGTTGAAGAATCATTGCTTCGACACTGGTGATCTTTGCTTCTTCCAGTACACTGACATTTGTTCACCTGTCTTCCCATGTGATGTGTAATTTTTTGGGGGAGACACCTTTGATGGAATCTTTTGAGGAGTTGGAGATGGGGTTTATGGGTGGATTATATCTCATCTCAATAAGAAGCTAATATATGAACAAGCCTTTTGCCTATGCAACCAGTTGCTTTGTATAAGGAGTCTCTAATTTACCATAAGTTCTTGTTTTGTTTGAACCATGAACCTGTGGCTACTAGTCTTGAAACAACCCAAGATATTAAAGCAGCTTTAAACTGTTGTTCAATATCCTGCTTTATTCTGAAGCTGTATCCTTAGGACACTTCCAGATTTTAATCCTGGCCAATTCAGGCTGCACTATTAAAGCTGGTTTGAAGCTCTTGTGAAAAGAAACTGCTTCCCCAAAAGTTTTGACTTTTTCCAATAAAGGAAGTGAGGGGTAAATGTGGGATAAGGCTTGCTTTGATACAACATCATCTAACCTCCCCAGGAACAAATCAGGCTGAATGCTCAATAAACAGATTGCCTGGAAGCAACCATAGTTTCCTGGCTTGAACAAAATGGGAAACTGTGGTTAATCAGAGACTTTATGGCTTGTTCAAAAGTGCTGTGTAGGCAAAAAGCTGGCTCAAATCTCAGCTTGTTAAGCTGATATACAAGCTGATATATTCAAACTGGGCCATTGTTTGGGAGAGCGGGGAGACAGGATGGAAATTCCTGTTGCACGGGTCACTTGTATGAAAAGCATGAAGGTGAAATATGTTAGTATCTGGAATTCCAGTTTCTGACTCATGCTCATTAATGTCTTGGATTCATCTGGAAGAAATCTTGTCCAGCTCTCGGCAAAAGCTTTTTAAAAAACCCCACCAACCCCCCGCCCCTTGCTGGGGAATAGCATGTGGGTGTATATATATCTGTGTAATTGCCCAAAGATGTAAAACATTGGGGGACATTCCAGAAATCCTGTGCAGGGCAAGTTTTCTCTGCAGAGCAGCTTTCATGCCAGCTGCCTGTGAGGAGGCCTACTTTATGGGCTGGCTCTGCAAGACGGCAGGAGGTGTATGGTATAAATTACTGAGCTCTGGCGGAAAAAAGGTATGGGGTGGAGAGTAAATTAAAGCAACCTGGATGGTCACCATCTGAGTGGAAGAGGCCAAGAGACGGGAATAATATTTTTATAGATGACTTGCGGTAATGAGACACAGTGTAAGAATAAGGCACCGGATGGGGAAGGGAGAGGGTTATTGGCAAGCCGGGGGTCTGGAAATCAGCATTGGATTTGGTGATCTTGGGCCATGGAGAACCTGCTGGTTTTGAGGATAGAACTGAGGTTTTCTTGCTGTAAGATATCTGTGCACTATTCTAGAATGTAGTTCAGTGTGCGTATGTTTGAAGCACTCTCTATTCTGCCATGGATCCATTGGATTCATAGGCAAGGTCTCTTGTGGTATTAAATAACATTTCTCACATTTATGGCAGCATGTTCAGTTGTAAGGAAGCTACAGGATATTGATGTTCATGAATATTCAGTACTCGTACCCTGTGAATTACCACTTTATGCTCATAAAACCTGAAGAGAAAATTACTGCAAACGAGAGACTATCCATTCTCGACATAAGAGGGTATAATTAACCATATACTCTTGGAAGTGGCTCCAAGCAGAAGAGCCTGCCATTCCGGACATTATGTCGAAGGTGGCAAGGACTCATGGTGACTAGCCATTGTCTGACCTCATGGGCAACACGCTGGGCCTTCCTAGACCATCATCCTCTTGTGAAAGCATCATGTCACTTTCCTTCTGTTTTCCTCTTTCCTGCCACTGCCCCCCGCCATACTCAAACCTTTTAATTAAGGCAGGAAACTGTGTGTCTCTGTGGCTGTTGGACTGGGAGATGTATTTTCCCACTAAATGAGATCTTAGCAAGCCTTTTAAAAAAAAGAAAGAAAAGAAAAAGGCCGGACATTAATCTTTTGGCTATTGGCAGCTTAATAGTTTTCCCGAGATGCTATCTGCCATTTCTCCTGGTCTCACTTTTCTTCTGATTAAATAAGATGTGGGGTGGAGAGGAATGCTCTTTGTTAAGGCAGACATTGATTTACTCTGGTTTATTTCATTTTCAAAAGGGATGAGGGGTTGGGCTCTAGAAGATCAAAGAACTAAGAAAGAAAGTGGGGGTAGGGACAGATGGACATTCAGCGGCATTGGGAAATAAACTCAGCTCTGAAATCTTAATGGCTAATGGCAATGTATGATCTTGTTTATTTCTGTAACAGTTCTTAGAGTTACAAACACAGGTGCTTGGTCCTTGTATTGCCTCCATCTTCTTCAGCCGTGCCCGAGAGTTCGCTGTTTCAGTGCAGTTGGGCTTCCGTGTGCTTGTGTCACTTGGGTGCACCTAAGTCCAACCAGAATGTCTCTTACACGAGCCCCATAATAAGAACAGAAGAGCCCTGCTGTATCACATCAGTGGCCCATTTAGTCCAGCATCCTAGTGGCTAACCAGATGCCTATGGGAAGCCCACAAACAGAACCCAAGTGCAGCAGCACTCTCCCCATTTGTGTTTCCCAGCAATTGATATTCAGAGGCATAAGGCCTCTGACAATGGAGGTAGACCATGGCCATCATGGCTTGTTCGCCACTCATAGTCTTTTGCTCCATGAATTTGCCTAATCCCTCTTTTAAAGCCATCCAAGTTGGTGGCCATCACTTCCTCTTGTGTGTAGGGCTGGGAAATATATTGATATATCATCGAAAACTGTTTTGAAGTCCATATCGTGATATCGATTTCATAATTTTTGATCTGGCAATATATCACAAATCATGATGTGTGTGTGTGTGTGTGTGTTGTGCAAAAATCACAATGTGAGAAAAACCATGAAGCCAGCCAATGCCTCTACATAGCTCCACCCTTATTTCAGACATTGTGATACACCAGTATACAGTGGTACCTTGGGTTACATATGCTTCAGGTTACATACGCTTCAGGTTACAGACTCCGCTAACCCAGAAATAGTACCTCGGGTTAAGAACTTTGCTTCAGGATGAGAACAGAAATCGTGTGGCGGCGGCGCGGCAGCAGCAGCAGGAGGCCCAATTAGCTAAAGTGGTGCTTCAGGTTAAGAACAGTTTCAGATTAAGAACAGACCTCCGGAACGAATTAAGTACTTAACCCGAGGTACCACTGT